TAGCGGTCGATAAAGTGTTAAGGAACGGGATCCCGCCGATTAAGCACGGTAAATTACGTCCCCGTTCCGATACATTAGCTATTCGAGCGACTGTCGAATTGTCAAATCGTTCAGAAACTGCGCCTTTCATTTGTCGGTTTGACGAGCTCCTTGATCGAACGATCGAACGATCTTCGATGCCTCCGTCGCATCGGAGAACGAAGATTCCGAAAATACTCGATTCGATAGACTCTTAGATTCAATTTCGTTTTTACTCTAATTATTACATGAATCGACGTTCTAAATATCGACTACGTCGAACGCTAATGTTTCGCATCCGTTTCGAAGTAACGAATTTTATCTTGTTCCGCGGATACGGAACGATCGAAGATATCGTAACAGCTGTGAGAAAGTTGTTTCAGACAATTTGCAACAAGATTTGAAATCTTCCAAATTGTCACGCGAAACTTACAGCATGAAAGTGCGTCGTTTAAAATGCACGCAATTGTGGTTTTCGGTAAGAGATCGTTGTCTGAATACTAGATTTGAGGTATATATAGAATCTAGATATAGATTAGAATTAGATTTGAATTAGATTTGAATTTGAGAATTAGAACCCGTCGAAACGACGGGTCACTAATTTTTTCATTTACGATTATCGTTCACATCGTAACGATACGTTTACGAGTTATTTAATTCGGCGTATAAATGTGTCAGTCGTGGCAAATGTTACAATAACGCTCGTTAAAAATAAGAATAAATGTGTTATCGTTACTTTTATAAGCTAACATAAAACAGCTGCTTTGTGTGCTCTGTAAATCTAGCGTCAAAGACGTTGTCCTCTGCTGGTCGTCACGCTTAATTAAAACTGGGTATATAATAATATAATATACTAATATATACTTTTAATAATAATAATATACTTTTATAAGCTAATATAAAACAGCTGTTTTCATATGCTCCGTAAATCTAGCGTCAAAGACGTTGTCCTCTGCTGGTCGCCACACTCAATTAAAACTGGATAACTCAGTTCATTCTTTTATGCAAAAATTGTTAAAACAATTTGTTTTAACGAGCGTTATCGTAATATTTGCCACGACCGATACATTTATACGCCGAACAAATAAACTCATAAATGTATCGTTACGCTACGAATAATAATCGTAAATGAAAAAATCAGTGACCCGTCATTTCGACGAGTTCTAATTCAAATTCAAATCTAATTCTAATCTAAATCTAGATTCTATTTCAAATTGTGTTAAAACAATTTTTACAAAAAAAAGAAAAAATGAACCGACTTATCCAGTTTTAATTAACCCTTTGCACTGGAGTGGTGACTCCGTGGCACCGTTAAAATCGTTACATCACGTTCCAAGATAATTTTTATATCGTAAAAGTCCAGACGTAAAAAGATTGTTAAAAGCCTAACTAGTCGCGCAAGACTATAAATTTCGTACGCATAAAATGCACTTTGTCGTATAAAATGGGAACACCATAAGTTAGAAAAATCAATTTAGATTCACAGTTAAAACGGCTTCGAGTGCAAAGGATTAACTTTGACTGTAAATCATTCCGTTGAAGATTGTACCGGAGGAAGTTGGGCTCGATGGAGTGTCAAAATCAGGGGTACGTCATCGACGGTTACCCGAAGACGTTGGAGCAGGCGAAGAAGCTGTTCGGAAAGTCGCAAGCGGAGGATCTGGACGAGGAGGAAGAGGATTTCGGCGAGGAGGCTGCCGACGCGTTAGGCAATTACACGATCATGCCCGAGCTGGTGGTGTCGTTGGACGCGAGCGACGATTTCTTGAAGGAACGAATTATCCAACGGCCCGAGTGGGAGATCCAGGGCACTCATTACACGGAGAAACACATGATGCGTCGTTTAAGGGAGTACAGGTAATGGAACGGTGCCGGCGGGCACACACATTGTTTCTTTGCCGGTTTCGGCGAGCTGGACGGTGTTCCCGTTGTCGCCGGCCGAGAAAAAGAGTGTTAATGGAACGGTAATTAAATTCCAGCACACGTAGAGAGCACCTGTTCCCGGTCCATTTTATTTTAATGGCGAGACAACCGACGTAACGAGCTTAATTAACGCAAAAGTTCTGGCATAATAGAGCGGTTCGCGGATTTTAATAGCTCGGCGAAACGCGGAGAAACGAGCAACGCGTTACGGATAGAATTTATATAATATGTGTACAGCGAGTTTATATTTGGCAATTTCGCTTGCTTTAAATAGAACGCGAAGGCACGGGATACGTACATGCTACGAGCGTATCAATGGAGAACCCGTGTACATTCGTTTTTGAGACAAAAGACACGCGCGTCGATGCTTCTGATGTCGCGGTCTGATAATGTTTTGTTTGCCCGATATAGAATATGCGGGTTAAAATGTGTGGATCGTTCACGTAATCTGATCTTGTCGATATTTTAATACTTTCGAGTAAATAGAATCGTTGTTCCGATTCTATCTGGGTTCTTCCTGTATTTCACTCTTTCCGTTGGCACTATTAGCTAATACGGTTATAGTCGATGCTTAATTGTTTTAATGCCACTTTTAACCAATTGTATATGCACGAGTGCATTTTAATGTACCTTCTGCGTCATTATACGTAGGTAAGTATTGCTCGTCTGTCAAGTACTGGTGCCAAATTTATTTAAATATATATTAATTGTTTATTATATATATAATATAATATAATATAGTGTAATATAGTGTAATATAGTGTAATATAATATAATATAATATAATATAATATAATATAATATAATATAATAATATATATTAATTATTTATCATAATATTTAAATAAATTTAAATAAATTTACAATTAAAGTATCCTCCCCTTAAAAAGGTTATATACATTTAATAATTTCGTGCCGATTACTTTTTATCCCGCGTACAAATTAGTTCCGTTGTTCTCCAACACTAGATTTACGGAACCCGTCAAAATGACGGATCACTGATTTTTGAATTTACGATTGTTCATAATGTACAATTATTGATTTATAAGTTATTTATTCAATTTATACGTTGCTTACGGCAAATGTAAAACGAACGCTTGTTAAAAATCAGAATAAATGTCTTCTCGTCACTTTTATAAACTAATATAAAACAGCTGTGTTTTTTGTGCTCCGTAAATCTACTGTTAAAATCGTAATATTCCGAGCGTAAATATCGCGATATTTCCTCGAACTTTCATACCTCCCGATTTTTCGACAACGTGACGCGCGAATCCCCCCCCCTCCCCACGCCCCTCTCTCCTTTGAAAAATGGACATCCAATGTTTAATCAAATCCGTGAAATCGCGTTGCAAAAAAGGTCGCGCTCGCCGGTCGCAATAACGCGGTAAACTGAATTCTTAAAAATAATAGATTTATTGTGCTGGGCACAGAGCGCGCACGGTTCAACGGTTCCCGCGCGCAGCGAATGCTTTTAAAATGTCATCGCGCATGTTTTCCGATTTAATAACGTTTCCCCGGCGTCAATTATTACGTTATTCGAAAATATTTCCCCGCGGACCGTGGTCATTTGCCCGGCACCGCGGGGGGATACGTATTACGGAACGCGGCGCAAGGAACGACGTCACGCGAACAATGTTGAATTTCGCATTTCCGCTAGTAATATGCTCCGCTTTATTATTGTAAAATAGTGTGCGTGCAGAAATCGCGTACACGACGGATCACTCTATTGGAACGGACGATTTCTGCGATGCTAAATATAGATATAGAAATTATAGAAATATATATATATATTCTATATTTTCTGCGAGAAAAATGTTGATTCGTCTGATATTGAATCGTTACAGATAATTTATGTATATATAATATACACATACATATAATATAAATTAATAAATAAATAAAGATTCGACCATCAACAGCTTTACTACAATATATACATTTGAAGCAACTTTCTCCTTTACAAAAATTTTCTTCGAGGCATCATTAACGAGTTATTAACGAAAAACAGTGACCAATGAGAGGCGAGCTCGGCTGGCGCGAGGCGACCGCTCGACCGCTGACGCCGTTGGCTCGGCCGGCTCGCGCCAGCTGGGCTCGCCTCTCAGTGGTCACTGTTTTTCGTTAATAACTCGCTAATGGTGCCTCGGAGAAAATTTTTATAAAGGAAAAAGTTGCTTCAAATAAATAAATATATAGTGTAATATAATATAATATAATATAATA